ATATGAAAAATATTTTTTAATTTTTGTTAAACCAATATATGATTTTTATTAAAATTTTAACCTATATTACTTTCATATCCTTTTTTATTGTTTTCATATCATATTATTATATCAAATTTTAAATTGTCAAATCTAGCCAACACCTTAAAAGATAAAGGTTGTAATACGTTCAATTTTTATAAGATATATTCTTCACAATAAATTATCAATAGTCGCAATTTCATATTAGATTGTTTAATTTAATAATAAATATATATTATTATGAGATAAATGGACATATCGTTTAACTAATCATTCGTGAATATGATCAAATTATGTTTGTTTATTAAGTTTAACAAATGATTATAACAACATTTCAAAGTTTTGGTGCAACTATAAAATTTTGGTGTCATACAACGATTACAAACGATTGTAAAAATACTGATGGAATAATTTCTGTTGGTATAGCGTCGATAAATTTTTGGTGCAGTTATAAAATTTTGGTGTCATGCATACGAATCAAAATTCTGTCAATAATAATGTAGATATGTATTTTGCTGATGGAATAGAGATGAAAAATATTCTGTCGGTAATTAATTTTGGTAAAAAAAATTTTAAATTAATAAATAAAATTTTATATTTTAATTTTTTAAATCAATTTTAAAAATATCGAAGAAATTTTGGTCGATATTCCGTTGGTGATTTTCACTTAGGAATAAAATCCCTAACTCTTCTCTTAACATTTATCTCCCTCACTCATGGTTCTCTTTTCCTACCCCCTCAACTAGACAGTCATCTCCCTTCTCTATCCTCAATTCCTCACATCCGACGGCCTTCCTCCCCTGATGGCCATTCTCCTCCACCATTCACTGCTACAAAAAAATTTGTGACTAAGAATTTCTTAAAAACCAATAATCGAGGAAGCTTTAGGTGAAACTATATATACTTTTAAACTGATGCTTCTTTTAATCTTTTTTAGAGCCACACAAGCACTAAAGGAGAAGAAATGATATGCATTGGTGATCGGAGATAGGCATAATGGCTTGATAGCCACGGCTTACTTGGCTTGTGGCAGCTTGTCCATTGCTGTGCTTGAGCAGTACCTGTCCATAGAAGCTTCAGGTGAATTTTTTGTTTTTTAATTTTTGTTAATAATATCAGTTTTTTGTATGGCATTGAAATTAAAAAAAAAAAAGGAAGAATTAAAGAGACGTGTTTGAATTTGTTGAAACTGATAATGACAGCGTTTACTGATTGGCTGAACAATTTAAAGAAAAGCAAGATTTCGAGGAAAATGAAATCTCTAATTTCTTTGAGACTATGTGTCATGAATCATGCTCTCTAAATTGTCTCAAATTTGTATTTTATTTTTACGGTCTCCTTCCACTTTTCAACAAATCAAATAGAACTTTGATGTTTTTTCTAGGTTTTGATGTAAAGGTAAAGTTGAAATTCATTTTATCTTTTTAAATTTTCCATCAAGTATCTTTTCTATGCAATTTTAAACTTTGATTTGTGATGAACTAGAGCCACTCAGAAAGTTGACTCAATTTGTTGAAACACCAAATCATCTGATTTGAGATATAGTATGGTACAAAGGAACTGAAAATGCTTACTTATTATAAGCCAATAAATAACATATTTAAATTTACTATGCTCTTATTGAGGTTTGTTTGTAATAAATGAGTTGAGAATCTTTTGTTTTGTTGCTAATTAAGGTTATGGCTAATTGAATTAATATATTTAACATCATTTAGTGTTAGCAATAAGCCATTTTACAATTTTATGAACCATTGTCAAATGTGAATTGGTGTTTTTCATTTTCTATGCTTTTAATTGAATTTAACTTTTATTTCTAGTACTTAACTAATTCATCTATTGGTTCTTTGTCTTCACTTTTCCTGCAATTCATCTATTAACTAATGGCTTCTAAGCGACCACGGTCCAAGCTTGAGCATAAGACAAGAAGTAGGTGTCGAAAGGTAATAGTGTCTAAGGTTTTTATAGCTCTCTTTTGTGGTCTTTTATATTGTTATTATTGTTGTTAGTGTCATCATCCATGAACATACATGTGTCACGGACTTAAGAAAGAGTCATGAATCTCATATCGAACATAATAGGAGGGTCATTGGGGTATAAAAAGGTTCACACCACCTCTTCCTTGTGAGGCGCCTTTTGTAGGACAAAACCGTGAGGCCAAGGGGGCCAAAGCGGACAATACCTTACAAGGGTGTGAACCCTAGCAGATAGGCTGATCTGGGATGCCAGAAGAGTGCATGCCCGGGTCCCGGAACCGCGCGGGTCGGAGCTTAAGTCTCGACCCGTGACACATGCACATGCTTAACTGTAAAGAAGTTTAAAGATTAAATCTTTGTGGAAACTTAATCATTTTAAGAGTGAATTTATATTGAGTTTTTGCTCAACTGTCATGAACTTTTTGTTGTACCTTAGTTTATAAATTGCTTTTGGCTGGAAGCAATTAGTAGTTATTTTCTAATACAAGTGAGGTTTTCTTTTGATTTGTGCTTTTTAAGTTCCATTAATAATTAAGGTTTGAATTCATCTCCTAATTGTAAATAAAAATCAGTTTTGTAAATGTTCTTCAAGAATATCTACCTACACATAAATGAGTAAATCTTCCAGGAACGTGGAAAAGAAGAATTTTATATCCTAAACACTCCGTGATGCATGACAATTTGCTTGGCATTAGTGCTAACATGGTGCTTGTCTAAGATGAATTTTGTTTTGTTTTGCATATTCTGCTTGGCATCATTTTGTTTTGTTTCCAATATCATTTATCTCGGCCTTTTGTTTGCTTAATAAGGTTTTGCAATATATCTTGTATGCATCCAAAATTATGAATTTTTTTTAGTTCATGTCACGTGATATTATTTTAATAAAGCTTCCAAATTTGTTATGCAAATAGATTGCTTTAGTAATTGAGCCCAAGAATACGGAAGCAAGTACTATGTACAGACAAGTTTAGGAGGTGCGGGCAACGGCCAATGTCAAGTTCAATTGCTTTGGTTGGAATTTTGTGTGATAAATTTTTATGAGCTTGATTTAGAGTTTGTATGTTCTCTTGGTGATGCGGCTAAAAATAGTTAATTGTTTTATTTTCTGATAAGGAAGTTAATGATTGAATATGATGGACGACCCAACGTTAAAAGGTAGTCCTTGAAGTGAGCAGACTGTGGTTGCCACTCCAACAATTGCTTCAACTCCAACAAGACCAGAATCCAACAAGTCCTTCTAGTCAATCTTGTTCTGCGCTTATTTTAGTCAGTTGTTGATATGTTTGCTTTGGTAACTATATTTAAGAACTTGAACCGGTGAATATTGGTTCTTGTAGACTGCAAGAAAATGATACCTCAGGATTGTAAAATATTATTATTCATGTAATTACTTAGAAACTAAATTAAAAAAACTAAAATAAAATGAGAGAATTTATAAACAAAGTAGAATTATATATGATTAAAAAACAAGTATTACCGATGGAATTTTAACTATTGAGGATGGAGGGTGTTTTTTATAAAATTGAAAAAAATTATTAAAATAATATACAAACTGAAAATTTTATTGGTAAAACAAAAAATTTGGTGGTAAATTATAGAAGAAATTATATCATCAACTTCGTTTATATTGAAGAAATTTTTGTTGGTAAATTTATCAATAATATTATTACAAACAAAAAATAAAATATTATCAATAAAAATTTTCATCAATAATACTTCATTTTTTGATAATGTTAAATGAACAAATAAAAAATATAACAAAATTTGTTCATGTTTAGTTTGTTTGCATCTCTAATAATATATTTAAAAAATTAAGTTAAAATTCTTCCGAAATAAAAAAAATTTAAAAAAATTTGAATGTGTTTATGCACTCAGAAGATATTATTTGTTAATTAAAAGTTTTTGATAGCATTCTTTTTTAATATTTTTCAGTCCAATTTAAACAAGTTATACAATTAACGAGAATTACCATTGGATCTTGATACAAACTTAAAAAAGTAACAGATAAGAATAACAAAATAAAATTGAGTTTTAATAATCTATTAAGTATCAAACTTAAAATTAATTAATAATAGGTAAAGGGAATTCAACTTGAATTTAAACCACAAAAAATTCACTATTTAACGAAAATGGGATATCATTACTTTTAACAATGGAGTGCTTGGGAAGGTTACGGGAGACTTACGAGAGAAAACTTGACCGAGTAGACTCTTTCTTTTCCCTACTTTTCTGATCCAGCTTGACTAATTCAGGTTTTTTTCCTTTTCTTTTGATCCATTTGAGGGAATACAATATGGATTGCAACCTTCTTCTTTGAATCAAATATATATTCTGTGGAAGGTAAACTCAAAATTTGTTCAATCAAATTAAGAAAAAAAATCAAATTTGATTTAAAAATTAAATCATTAATGATGAATGAAAATGTAAGATTACATATAGTTGATTGGACGGCAAAAATATCTTTATTAGCCATCTTATTGTGATCCTTCTCTTTTTCCATAAATTATTGCTTGCATTCCTCCTCAGTTTCTCAAACAAATTAAAAGAGAGCAAATTTTGATTCCAACAATAACACTAGGCACACAACACTACAAATTATCTTTAATATAATTAAATAGAAAAAGGCGACATTAGAGGTTAGCTCTAGCTGATGATTAAGAAAAAAAATTCATACAAAAATTTCAAATTCTGTTCTCTTTTAAAATAAAAATAAAATTTCAAAACATATACTTTAGTTTTCTAAATAAATTTAAAAATTTTTCCAAATTTTTATAAATTCAAAAATTTTTACTAAAAATCAAATTGTCCTATTTAGTTTTTCCAAATTTATATTATCCTACGTGAAATTTTTAAAAAATAAAATATAAATATTTTCCATATCAACAACATATGACAAAAATAAATTTTGGAAGGAATATTCTATTTTAATCCATGGATGATTAAAATCACATTAAAAATATAATAAAGTGGTAAAATTATACCAAAAAAGGTAAAATATATATGGGATTCTAAGTTTTGACTTCTAATATCAAGATTAATTCTCCTTTTGCAAGAAATGACGAAGACTGCTAAGCTGAACATATATACACATACCATTTCAATCCAACATTTTTCATCAACTTAGTTGTTTTCATTTATTTGTATTCTAGTAAGTATTTAACTCAGTAAGATCCCTTCAACTAAAGAACATCAACTAGGGAAACTTGGTTTTGACAGGCTGTTTGGAAAAAAAAAAAATCAGTCTAATTGAATGAAATTATGATGCAAGGAATTCTTATAGCAATTCTTATGCCGCAAAATGATTTGTGATTTGTCTAATGTCTAGAGGGAGGAAGCAATGCTATTCAACTGAAATTCAGAGTTGATGAACTTTAACGTGACTTCCTTACAGAGACACAAAGACAATTAAAATGTGCGCATTGATGGTTTAAAAGATCCTTGTTTTCAAGTCTGCTAGTGGAAAGGACAACAAACTATAAACTTTTAGCTGATAACAACAAGACATAAATAAACAGGAATGCTGTCTTATGTACCCTCATAGAAATTTGCATTCTAATATGATCGCAATTTTTGGCTGCAAGTCTAAGAAATTGGGACAAAGTTTTGCGAAATGCTGCGGCAAATTAGCAACTGCTTCATTCACTGGCATCTTCTCAAACTCACATTCATTTCTTCATCTCCCTCCTCTCAAAAAGGGGTGTTTTCAACTTCTTTGTCAAGACCACCACTCTATAGCACTACCAATTGGCCATGTTGTTTGTTGAGCTCCAGTAGACTCTTCCACTATATTTTCATCAATTGATCGGATTGCCTGCAAAACAAATTAAAGCATGGCATGTGAAGAACAAGAAGCATGTATAATTCAGTAAATTGAAATAATAATGCAACAAGGACCATTGAATGAACCCAATAAGAAAGATTGCCAGCCAATTACATTTTGAATTTCATTAGGAATTAAAACAAACACATGGATGACAAATTTCAATTGAAATCCATAACAAGTTCCCTTGAACACACGAGATTAGTATTGCATAATCAATAAAGCTGAAAGAGGAAATAAAAGCATGAAAAATGTACAACAGGTGAACCTCTCTGTTCATAAGCTTATCCAAGTTCAGCTATACAAAAAGCAGGGCAGCTTTTGATACTTTTATATTGAGAGTTAGGAAGCGTAGCGTACCTCTGTTTTGGCATGCCCAGATTGCTCTGAATCAACACTAAAGCTTGTGGTTATATTGGGACAACCTGTTACAGATAAAGATTGCAAAGATGGGAATACGAAATGATAACCCACAGGGCTGAAGCTCACAAGGTTCGGTAGCTTTTCAAGACCTAAGGTGCCCAATTGAGGTAACTGTATCACTTTCTCTTTTTCCTCGCTACCATTTGCCTCATCTCCTGATTGCTCAAATACTTGTTCTAATTTGGAGACATTCCGAACAGTTAAGGATTGCAGTTTTGGAAGGCCATAAGCAACACTCTTCGGAAAGAGACTTTTCAAGTTTTCGCATTTGTAAATCCGTATTTCAGTCAGATTAGGGAGCCATATGGGTTGGAGATGATGACCTTCTGATGAAGTTTGACCATCCTTTTCAATAATTTGCTCCAATTCCTCACACTCATTTACCCATAAAGAGCTCAATTGTGGCAAATTTCGAGCAATGGTTGGTGATAAGATATATCTTAACCTTCCACATCTATAGACATTCAAATCAGTGAGGTTTTGAAAGTTGACAACTTGGATGGGATCTTTCCATGCCACCCGCAATTCAGGTAGATCACCCAATATTAGTTCCTTCAAACTTGAAAGATTATATCCACCATCAAATAACTCTTCAAAATTAATGATGGTCAAATATTCCATGTTTGATAATTTTTGTCCCAATTTAGGAACTATCAGATTGCATGATTGCTTCCTTTCTCTCATATCCAAAAATTGTAACACCTGTAATCATATCATTTAACTATTAATTCAAAAAATGTAAAAAATAACTAAAAACTTATTTATTCTTTATTTTTAATTTTATATAAAATTTTGATTCTAACAATCTTATCATTAAATTAAACATATTGCTTTAAAGGTCCATTTATACCATGATTATATAATGTGAATTAAGTTTAAAATTTAAATTTCTTAAATTTTTTATTCTAATCAATTAAAATTTAGAAAAATCCTTAATTTAGGACCATATCTCTTATAATTATTATAGTACAATTAACTAATTATAATTTAGTATTGTGCAGGGTCCATCAAAAAACTATTTAGAAGCCACATTTTAAGTGATGGCAACATAATTCTTAATTGTGATTGGTTAACTATAATATTGTAACAAAGATAATTATAAATGAATTACTCTCAATTCATTAATTTAAGTCAAAGACAAATAATTTAATTAAAATATAAAACAACAGTTTTGAAAAGATTAGTTCTATATCATGAATAAAAATGAATCCATATGAAACGTTTAAAAACACAAAGTACTAGTACATACTACATATGGCTTTTCAATATATCTAAGAAATAAAGTTTGTTCTAAGAATTATGATTAAAGAAATATATTTTCTTATATGTGTTAAATATTTACAAAAATATTATTACTTTTAATTAATTTTTTTATTTGGTTTAGTTTTCAACTCAAAACTAAATTATTAATTCAGTTTGGTTTGAAAAGTTTTTGGCGTTAAACTAAACTGAGCCAAATCACCTAGTTCAGCTTGGTTTTTCTGTTTTGACCAAATAAAGCGCACACTACTCTCAATAGTGCTAAATGGTGATATTAAGGGTTTTTTAGTTCATGGTATTAATTATTTATGTTTTTATGGGAAGAAATAACAAATTTCTGTGCTACCATGCTATTATTTCTAGACTCCCTGATATGAATGTCAGGGATAGGGAATCCTTAGAAAACCAGAGTAATATTATTGTTCTGTAGCCCTTGTTATGCCAGCTGTAGACACCCAATTGGGTCCGGGCCCAGATCAATTGGGCCTGACCCAAATGGGTAAGGCCCATTTCAATCCTGTATATTTTTTTTTTCTTTTGTATTTTATGTATTTTATTATTATTATTATTATGTATATATTTATTTATTTTTTTATTAGATTAGATTTATATGTATATAGTTATATATTTATTATTATTATTATTATTATTATTATTTTTAATATATACTTGGGTTTATCTTATTTTATTATTATTATTATTATTATTATTATTATTTTTAATTATCTGTTCTGATTTTTCCTGATTATCAGATTTTTTTTATATCTTTTGATTTATCTGATTATTATCTAGTTTTTTTTTTATTTTTGATTTTGGAGGGCTAAGATTGAAGCTGAAGAATCCTACCGGGAATGGGAATTCAATCAAGAGAGTCCAATTGGATTCAAAGACTGAATTCCCGTCCAAGGAGGAATTGGGATTGATCAGAAACTCCTGATCAATCCCTATATAAAGCACCTCCTGGAACAGTCAAGAACACACAGAAAACAGTGAGCAAAGCTACTGAATTTGAGAGAAAAAAAGTGTTTAGAAGAGTTTTCGAAGGCTAAAGAAGGTCGAGAAGTGTTAGGATAGCTGTAGGGATCTGAAAAAAATTTTTTAGAAATTTTTTGCGAAAATTTTTTCTGGAAATTTCTGGGAAATTTCCAGATTCCGACGAAAATTCCGGCGACATTTGAATTTTCCGGCACAAATTCCGGCGAAACTTGAAGATTCCGGTGACCAACCCAGTTTCCGGCGAATTTCCCAGAAACCGGCGAAGATTCCGGCCATATTCCGGCAAAATTTCCAGATTCCGGCGACATTTCCAGAATCCGGCACCGGTGTTCTTCGGTTTTCTAGAGAGAAGGGAGAGAAAAGGGAAGGAAGAGAGAGAGGGGGGAGGAGCGTTCTGCCGAAAAACGGAGGAAGGTGCCTTTTATACCCTCCCAAAACGACGTCGTTTTGGCTTTAAGTTAATCAGAGGATCCGCGCCGTTTTGCCGACCCGACCCCGACCCGAGCGTCGACCCGATTTGACCCGCGCGGCCCAGCCCCCCTCCGAGCGAGCCGAGCCGAGCCGTTCTTCCCGACCGCTTCTCCGAGCCGTTTTCTCTTCCTTGAGCCGAACCGAGCCGAGCCGCAACCCGAGCCGCTCCAGGTTTTTTTTTTTTTTTTTTTTTTTTTTGAATTTTTTGAATTTTTTTTTATTTGACTTTGATTTTGATCTTGATTTTTTTTTCTTTTTTCTTTAATTAATCCGACGACGGAGCCTCTACAAGTGAAACAGTAGTTTTTCTTGGCATACCTCTTGAGGTGAGGGAATTTTCCTCAATTTTCTGCTAAAGTATTAGAGTCAATTGAGAATAATTTCCAAATTAATTGGATGATTTTGTATTTTTTAATAAATCGACGACGGAGCCTCTGCAAGTGAATACAGTAGTTTTTCTTGCATACTCTTGAGGTGAGGGAATTTTCTCAATTTTCTGCTAAAAGTATTAGAGTTAATTGAGAATAATTTCCAATAATTAATTGGATGATTTTGTTTTTTCTTTAATAAATCCGACGACGGAGCCCCTGCAAGTGAAACAGTAGTTTTTCTTGCATACTCCTGAGGTGAGGGAATTTTCTCAATTTTCTGCTAAAAGTATTAGAGTCAATTGAGAATAATTTCCAACAACTAATTACTTGGTAAAATTTTAAGGCTTTTGGATAACACAAATTTAAGCTGGTACCATCTTTTGATGGGCGTTGTGAGGGTGCTACAACCTTCCTCACACGTAACCGAACTCCCGAACTTTGTTCTGGTTAGCAGACCTGAACCTATTCTTTTAGGGACCCTCAAGCTTAGGTGTTCCCTGAAAGGACAGATTCTTTAGGTGGCCAATCGCACCTAGATAAAAAAGATTGGTGGCGACTCCCTAAAGTCAATGTCTAGCGATAGATCCCCGGATCTAGACGTTATGACAGCTTGGCGACTCCACTGGGGACTTTGAGAGTCAGGCCAGCAAATAATTTGTGTTATCCAAAAGCCTAATAAAATTGAACCTTGTTGTATATATGTGTAATTTTTATTTTTTTTTTTAGTCATGTTTATTTACCTTGTTAATTATGTCATTCATATGCATGTGCATAACATGAGCTCTATACCCGAGCTCCGTCCCTCTAGGAGGGAGTAAAGTACCTATTGCTTTCGTGAGGTCTAATACCTCCGCAGTGGCTAGCGAAATACTCCCACTCAAATTGAACATTTTCCGCTCGTAGCCTGTAATGGGTGAGAATTAGGGTGCCTTACTAGTCTGTGATGGACAAGGATGTAAGGAACAATTTGAGGGCCTTTAGACTCTGACTTTAAAACCGCATGTAGTGAACCTTAAGAGTGCTTACACCTAGGATAGAGCCCTTTCTACCCAATGATAGATATACCCTGAAATTAGGACACAAAAAAGGTGTTTATCTAATCATTTTGATTGCTTAACTTTGTGTATTATTTTTTGTAATGTTATGCATCAGCATTACTTTCATTTCATTCATGAAACTAACTATGTTGTTTGTCTAATTTTATGCATCTACATTACTTGCATGGTCATGTTTTAACACAATCATTTGTATCCATTTCATATTAGATTTCATTCAGGAAAATGTACATTTTATTCATGCATCAAAGCATCATACATAAAGCATAACATTTCTAATCATGAGTATGGTACTCAAGGTCCGAGGATAGCTCCATCTAACGAGAACCCTGCTCATCCATACAACACAAGATCCAGAGCAAGACAAATGGAGGAGGAAAATTCTCATAGATTTGAAAAGCTAGAGAAAGCCCAGGAGAAGATTGAAAGTGAACTAAGCAAGATTCTGGAAGCTCTAAATAACATGAATAAGGGGAAAGGAGTTGAAGGAAGTACAAGCCAGCAAGAAGTGGCTGACCCTTTGTACCCTCCAGGTTTTGGCCCATCTCAGGTCCAGCCTGCTCAAGAGGTCCCGCCATATCCTGGAATACCATCAGCTTTCAACCCAGGGCAGTATAATAGCTATATAAATCCTGTCTTCACTGAAAAAGTAGCAGAACCAATTCCTGACCTAGATGCCTTAAAGGAGAAGGAAAAAGAAAAGATGAAAGTGGAAGCTAAGGAGAGTTCCAAGATTAGCATGTTAGAGCAGAGGCTACGGGCTGTAGAAGGATTAAGCTTTTATGGGTCAGTTGATGCTGCTGGGCTCTGCCTAGTCCCTGATGTGGTTATTCCCTATAAGTTCAAAGTACCAAAATTTGAAAAATATGACGGTACCAAGTGCCCCAAAACCCACATCACCATGTATTGCAGGAAGATGGCAGCTCATGCTCATGATGAAAAACTTCTGATGCATGTTTTCCAGGACAGTCTTACTAGTTCTGCTGCCAGGTGGTATGTTCAGTTGGATAGAACCCACATTCGCTCCTGGAGCGATATGGCTCATGACTTCATCAGCCAATATCGACACATCATCGATTTGGCCCCTGATCGTTTATCTTTGCAAAACCTGGAGAAAAAGTCAAATGAGTCTTTTAAAGAATATGCCCAGAGATGGAGAGATATAGCTTCACAGGTGCAACCTCCACTGACAGAAAAAGAGACCACAGTGCTGTTTGTTAGCACTTTGAAACCTCCCTATTATGAAAAGATGATAGGAAATGCAACAAAGAATTTTGCTGACATGGTGATCTCTGGAGAAATTATTGAAAGTGCCATAAAAAATGGCAAGTTGAAAGGAGGAGAAACCAAGAAGACATCAGAAAAGAAAGAAGCTCAAGCTCAAGCTGTGAGCTTTGATAGACAACAATTCAGGGGTTATCAACCCTATCCATCCCAAGGCTACTCTCCATACTATCCTGCTGTGAATAATACATCATCCTACCCATACCAGCTAGCTTCACAACCATCTTATTCATCCACTTACCGCCTCAACATTCAAGCTCCTGTA